TGTTTTAATTAATTTCTACATACTGTAAGCATTTACAGTATGACAACGGAAATATGAAGCTTAGATGAAAGTAAAAGAACTCATCTTATAGATCATGAAAAGTCAATAAGAAGAATTGCTCTAGAATCACCGAACATAGAATTTGGAACGTGAGAAAGTCAAATGTCAATTGCAAGCTGAACGAGAAAAGGCAGAGTTATTGGCGCAAGAAAAAGCGATATTGAGTGACCAATACAAATATGAAATGGAGTAGTTGAGGGCTGAAATTGAGGCCTTAAATGCTGAGGTGAAAAAATTGGCAGATTATTTAATCAATAATGGTCAATCACAAGTATTGATATTGCCAATTTTTGAAGTTCCAAAAGGCATGAGTCAATATCAGTACCAGTTAGAATTAAGAGATGCTTAGATCCTAAAATTGGAGGCTCAAGTCCGTGAATTATGAGAGTACAATAAAGATCTTTTAGTCCAGTTGAAGAACGAGCCGATAGAAGGATTAAAAGAGGATGAAAGTTTGTATTTGGAACCAAAATTGGTAGAAACAAGAAAAGATAATGTGGAAGTTGATCAATTGGGTGGGCCAAAGAGATAGCAATTTTATAGAGTTTTGTTAAGTAGATTTTTTTTTTTTTTTTTTTTTTTTTTTTTAGATATATATCAATTTAATATTTACAAGGATGCTGCACAATTAAGAGTGGAGCTATGTAAAATAGATAGAAATTTGTTTTTATAAGATATGAATAAAATAGATTAATCAATCCTAGTGTTGTCAATTCAATAAGTCGGATATTTGAATTAGTTGTGAAAAATGATTTAGTAGGAAATGATAGTTAAAATTTGAAATTTTTGAAGTAAAGCATAAGTAAATTGAAGAAGATATTGGAAGGGCTAGACTGTGATAGTCATGAATTGGGATAAGCTTAGTGCTACCTCTTTGTTCACTTTGTTTTCTTTGTAGTTGAAAAGTAATCGATAGTTTCTGAATACTATAAAATGAATGTATGAAATTAATCAGAGATTGATTTATAAGATACAGAGTATGTAATTGGAGAATTGTGTGATTGAATTATTATGAAAAGATATTAGAAGTTCGTTATCAGATTCTATAGAAGATTGATTTTGAATGGAAGATTATAATTGTTGTTGATTGAGAGTTATGTGTGTTTTGACAGAAGAAGTCTGTGATTACAAAAATTGAGTGAAGCTAGATTGATTGGAGTGAAAGATTGTTATTTCCAATGTTGGATAGAATTTGTGTATTTTAAAGAATCTTTTGAGAGTGCATGAATGCACATTGTTGTTATCAGTTGATCAAAAAATATTGTTAGTGGGAGAAAGCATTGTAATATTCTTTGGTTTTTTTAGTGGTTTAGAATATGATTAATTGTATGACCTTAATATTTAAGCTCATGCGTTAGTCTTTCCCTGTATTCAAATCTCCTTCTATAGGTTTATTTTGAAAGAAATTTGTAAAATAAGTAAAACGACAACCATAACAAGAAAGATCCAAGTTAATTTATAGATGGAGATTTTGAGAGCAGCGAGTGCAATAAGTAGCCATTTTTTTTCTCTTTGATTTGGTTCTCATTTTTTTAAGATTTTATTTATGTAATTTTATAATTTAAAGTTTATAACTTGATTTAAGTTCAATAAGCTAAATTGTACTTAGATTAGATTAATAATAAGTAAATTATAGATATTTTAATAAGATGAGATTTGAATTTAAGATTTGAATTAGAGATTGGATACATGTTGGCACTAGAAAGAAATTAGTCTAAATTTTGTACTTAGCTTTTGGCTATCTTTTTATATTTGACTTCATTTTAAAAATATTATACTTCTTACAATCTACTTACAATCAAAGACTTTGTGTTTTTTTGAAAAGACTCGCCTTCTTGACAACTTATAAGTTGCTCTGCATGTTCTGCTTTTTTGGTTGTCTTTTCCACCATTAAGGTAAGATTTAGAACTATGACATATATTGGTTGCTTATATTATATTTTTTTTCTTCATAAAGGTTATTCCTACAAGTAAATCTTTAGCCACAGATTCTTTTGTTATTTCACTTGATGTAGGGGTACAAAAAATTATCTTGCATCAATTGTCCTAGTTAGCTAATCAACTTACTTATTTTCTACCTCTAGCTATGGCATACTAAGGATAACATCATATCTAAGCTTTACTATCCTAAATTTCTTTCTCAAGGCATAAGTATCACTTAATTTTAAGGCTTCTTCTTTACATGTCTCACTCAATATATTCTTTCAATTATTTTTTAGATATATACTCCTTCTTTTGATCATCTTGGTTTTAATCCCAAGTCAGTTGACAATTCTAATTGAGATGTAATTTTTTGTAGAGCCACAATCTATAAGAACTCAACATGATTGTCTTCTTAATCAATCCATTGGACACATTAGTTCATCTTTCTGATAACTATCTGAGGTCATGTTATTTATCTTGAGAGACATTAGTTATTTCTAATATTGATCCTTGATGCCTTTATTAGATAGCCATGTTTTCCTACTCTATTTCTATATCAACTTAATGAGCCTTGAGATTGTAAACCTGGCTTGATTTTTTGATGTCTAAATTTTGACGTTTGAAATAATATTTGATCTAATGGCTAAGCTCCCAATAATAAAAATATAATTCCTTTTGTGTCGATATTTGTTGTCTTTGTTGTGTCATTGGTCTTGCAAGGCATTAATATCTATCGATGTTGGTTCTTATGTCATAGTATTGAATAGTAGCATAAGACTTTGGACTATAAGTTGTACTCCAAAGTTTCTGAAATCTATAGCATCAATCCTTTTTATAATCCTAACTACCTCCTCAAATGTTTGTGGATCCTTTAATTCTACCTCACGTTGTCGAGGTAGAGAGAGTTTGCCTGAAGAAAGCATTAGGCTCCTGACTATCACTAATTATTCAATTAAGCTTCTAAAATAAGAGAAGTCTTAAGTCTATATATAAACTTTTTCTTTTAGAGCAATTACACCAAATACGTAAGCCTTAACTAACCAACTACATCCAAAATATGATAAAATCCTCTAAATCCTTATATATCCTTATGTGGAAATTTTCTTGCACTTCAATACTTCTTAACTCCTAATCCGACTATCTAAACTTACTCAAATTTTATATAAAGTATTGATGTATTCTTATCAACTTCCACAACAAATTTCAAGTGCAAACTCATTGCGGATCTTGAGATATCTTAAAAATCCTAACAGTAGCTTCAAACCATAGTTTTTATATACCCATGTTTAATTTTCTTCATATCTCACAAACTTAGTACTTAAATGCCACAAAATTTATATGTATAGTTTTTTAACACAATTATCTATCTTTTTTAAAAGGTTTGAGCCAAAAATTCGTCCAAAATCTTAAGATATGGCTCCAACCATTACTGCAAATAAAACTGCTTACTTATTGCCTTTTATTTGGAAGTGTTGCTTTCAACTCCATATATCTCCTATATATGAACTCCCAAAACAACAATTCTTTCTTAAAAGATGTAGGCCTTAAAATTATCATTCCAGTCGCATCTTTAGAACTTCAAAAACTGTCGTACAACTCTTTGTATTCACAAAAGAGTAACAGTATGTCTTTAATTAACACCTTAACTTCAAACATCTGTAACTTCTTCACCCTAACTCCAAATCTTCTAATTTTTGCACAAAAATTGTAACCCAAATCCTAAACCTTACAATTCTAGCTTTTAATTTCCAAATGCCTTCTTTGAAGTTGCCTAAATCCTTCTTAAGGTCGTAGGCAGCCTCCTCAAAAGTCCATTAGATATGATATTCGACCAATAGGGATGAAGTTCTCCATTCCTTGCCTTCATCCGACCATGCCTTGCTTTCATCCCTCCTAATTAGCCTCCCACAAGTTTGGATTTTCTTTCTTAGGCTTCTACCTTCTTCTAAGATTTCATACTAAATATTTAGGTCTTATATATATATATATATATATATATGTGTGTGTGTCTTTTATATATATACATTTTTTTTTATGCCAAAATCAAAACAAGTAAAAAAAAAAAAAAAAAAAAGGTTTCTTATATCAACTCCTTTTAATTTAATCTATTAACCACTCTAACACACATCTAGATTTTTGAACATATAATATGTTTTAACTATATTTTACACGCACATGAAAAAAGATGATATTGCAATAGAGTTTCACTACATGAAATGTAAAAAAGAAAAGAAATCCTTAGCGAGAAGGGGTATTGGAAAAAATGGAGTGCCTGGGGTTTCTTCTTCTTACTAGCTTGATACCTCCTTGAAAACCTTAGATACATGAATGAACTTCATATCCATATAGAAACAACATAATAAGGATATTAGTAGATATGTTTGAGGATAAAACCTACTTTGAACATTGTCAAAATAGAATGCATGAGAAGAATCCTTGAACACATTGCATTTTGGATTGTATAAATTGATATCACAATATGAGTAAAATTAACTATCTCATTTGCATTTCATATGCATCGAATTTTTACAGAGACTTCAGAGGTGAGAATTAGCAACCAGGGCTCTAACGAGTCTTGACTTCTGTATCATTGAGGCCGCCTTCTTCGACACGGAGGGAAGGGGATGCCAGAGAAACAGCTGGTTTTCGTTCACTGTTCATCCTCTTCAAGGGACGATTCTCATCCGTTCACTACTTGGATGAATCACGTTTTCGGTGAATGGGAAATTTAACGATTTCTCTCCCCATTAATTATATCTTTCCTTTCTGTCGCCTTTCTGTCTCCTGCACTCCTTTTCCTTTCTCGTGCTGACATTTCCTTTCTGGCTTCCTTCCGTTTTCTTTCACTTCCCATTAAAGAGAGTAGATGACAGAACACAAGTTGAATATACAATCATGGTCTATTATTGGATTTCTTTAAAGGTTCATAAAGGACGCATAAGGAACGTTGCCACCAGGCGGGTCGATGCGGGGAACGTAGAAATATTCAAGGAATAGATATCTCATCCATCCGGCGTGGCGGGTCCTTGGCGCTTCTACTGCAAACTTGGAACGGGCTTGTCTCCACATCGGATTTCAAAATTCGCTTACGCCCCGAAAGCCCTCAAGCTTCGACTACACGCTTTGCTCCATCGCACTTACAAATTCCTTCCCTCGCACGAATCCTTCCCTTTGTGAGTTTCCTCTCGAAGTTTTCTGTCTCTGCCTTCTTTCGGCGCAGTGTTTTTGTAATCATTGAAAGCTTCGTTTTCAGAGATTTAGATACTCCTCCTTCATGGCTACTCGCAGGATGGACGCTTTGTTTCCGAAGCGCAAGAGCTCCGTGTCGAGCGTGAAGGGTAGCAAAGCCCTATCTGCTGCGTCGTACAAAATCAAGGATCCCGTATATAGTGCGCAAGATGACATAGGCTCTGGTGCTGGTACTCTTGGAGCTGCGGATTCACAGCCTGCTGCCCTAGTGTCATCTGGAAGGAAAGACTTGCATGAAGGTAACGTCGAATTGACACATCGCACTGTGAACTTGCGTAGTCACTTCTGTTTCGAACATTGCGTGTTCCCGGTATTGCCCTCCTTTCGTGCTTTTGGTATTTGCTCATCTTCAGGTTGATGGTTTGGTCTTGACAGTTGGATGAGATTCAATTATTGCTCTTCAAACATAGGTCGGCATTGAAACGAGTTAGTTGACATGAGGGGGTTTCAGGGATTGCGGTTTGTGTCGCTTACGAGTTTTTGAATGTTTCTCGCTTTATTAGGTCACCTTGGTTTCAAAAGATTGAGGTGTCACGTTTTCTTCATGCCTTACAGTGTTGGCTGTTTGTGTCCGCGCAAATGAGCTTTTGCTTATAAATCCAGTTAATAATTTATTTTATTTTCGCCATGTCATTGTTTTTGTCAAGTAATCTCTCTGGCGATGTTGGTGCTCTTTCTTAAGAACATGCTTTCCTGTATCACTCATACTAATGGGTAGTTACGCCCGTCCAGAATGTGACGATGTGGAGGAGATTTTGAGACAGTTCGATATGAACATGGCCTACGGTCCATGTTTAGGAATTTCCCGCCTGGAGCGGTTTGAACGGGCCTGTCGGTTAAATCTCAAACCACCTATGGATGTGAAGAATCTTTTAATGCGCGCGGGAGGCAACCCCAACGCTCTTTGGGAGGGACGAGTCTGAGTGATGAATGTAATATCCTCTATCACCCAACAGAAGTTTCAAAGATCTTTACACTCGGTGAGACATGTACGATCTACGATTTCATGTGTTAAAATCATGATTCGTTAAGTTACCCTGCTGTGATTTCCTCAGCCAAAATATTGTGAACGTTTTGTAAACAATAATGTGGCGGTTAGGATTTGTCTACTTCCGCTGGCTGTGGAGATAGCGCTTGATTTAGATTGCCGGATTCTTTATCCTAATGTCCAAGAATGTCAAATCAGGACTCTTGTTTCGGAGTTGATCCCCGTCACGTGTACAGTTTGGAAGTGTAAGATATTCATTCTACTTCCGTGAATTTTTACAGATTACATTCATTCTGCAGCTATTGTCGTTACTGTAATGGGCTATGAAATACCGTGCTCAGAGCTATCTGCTACTATTTGTCGTATATATCAGGTTGGAGTTCATTTTAGTGCAGTGAAGAAACAATATTTATTACATATTTTAACACTTTCCTTAAAACAGTTTGATAAGACTTCTTTGGAAAAAATATTAAGTTGTGCATTTTCTCAAATCCATTTTGGTCATCACCGAAATAAAATCATCTCACTTGATATTTTAAGTAGCTTTCAATGCGAGTTCGTTGCGGTATTTGTTTCCAACTCGTAAATTGAGATTGCAATATAGTGCCGAAGATGTAGCTTCGTCAAAAATCTTACGATCCATATTCCTTGAAATCTTCAATTAATAACTATAATATCCAACTTCTTACTTGCATCCCCGTTAGTAACAACACTATCTTCAAAACCCAAATTTGATGTAACCTAAGCAGTGACAAAATCATTAATCCAGCTTCTTATTTACTGATTGTAGTGCCCAGAATAGTTATTTCACTAATTTCACATACAACTGTTTACAAATTAACGTTAATTAAGACGATACGTCAAAAATTTTAAGATTCAGCATCCTTGAACTTTAAAAAGGACCCTAGTGAAAGTCCGTAACCTAAGTAAATTGATGGACCTTAAGTACAACCATGAATAAAGTACGATCACAAAACAAAATCAACAGACGATTACACATCAATAAATTGCAGATGAGTACATAATGTAAAGAAGAGTCTAACCAATGCAAAAGCAAGTCCAATGGTCAATACCGTTTTTTTTTATTATTGTTGTTCTTTTCATTTTCATTTCGTGATACATCGGAGGCATCCTGTAAGCGAAGTTATGAGCGTGTGAATTACTTTTCGGAGGCAAGATGTACACAAGGTGCGGCTCACTCAGGCTTATTGAGGATTCAGAATCCGATGCAGGAATGCCCTTTACTGCTGGGTCTTCGAGGGATTGTCGCATCGCAGAGGGATCACAAGCTCGCAACTTGTTTGTATTTGTAACACCGAGCCAACCCCGAGAAGAAGCACAGGTTCGCGACCATCAAGCCCGCTAGAAGCCAATAGAAGTAGTCGAGGCGGCACCGATTGAGGTTATCGACGATCCAGCTCTGGCCGCTTAAGCTCGTCACCTTCACGATGCCGGACAGAAGAATGCTGGACAGGAAGTTGCCGATGCCGATGGTGCTCAGGAAGACGGCTGTGCCCAGACTGCGCATAGAATCCGGCGCTTGGTCGTAGAAGAACTCGAGCGCGCCTGTGGAGGTGAATACCTCGGCTGCGCCGAGCAAGACGTATTGTGGCAGTAGGATAAAGACGGAGAGTGGAAGTGTCTGGAAAGGATGATCGAGAAGGCCATGCTCCCTCGCTACCTGCCAATTGCACCAATTCCCTCACATTGTCAGACTCCTTGGCCGGTGGTGCGACCTCACGGATGATCGATGCTAACCAATGAGGTGATGCTATACCTTGACTCGGTAGACTTCAGTAACAGCAGCGCAAACCATGGACAGAAAAGAGAGGATGATGCCGATTCCAATTCGTTGGAGCATGGTAATCCCTCGCACGTTGCCCGTAAAGCGCCGTGTAATAGGAACGAAAACGCGGTCGTAAATGGGGATGAGACAAACGATTGTGATGGGAATGATGCTTTGGAGTGAGGCGGCGGGGATTTTGAAGTTGGGGCCGAAGTTAACGTTCAGTGTACTTCCTTGCCGGGTGTAGAACGTCGAAATCTGCGCTGAAGGAGTTTGAAATATTAACGCAGCCACCCAAATCGGCAGTAATCGGAGCACGAGCTTCACCTCCTCTACCTCTGTCACAGTTGCTAGCTTCCATGGGCTATGCTTCTGTATGTCGCTACTTGACCCCTCGGATGGATTTGGTAGCACGGCTGCTTTGTCGAGGAACCTCATGGAATTGGAATGTGTAATGTGACGCGCCCCAGCCTGAAGCGATTCTTTGTCATCAACTTCATACAACAAAGCTGGATCTGCAGGAACTTGGATGCGGAAGTTCCTAACCGCTGCAACAATCACTTGGCCAATTTGTGTGAACGAGCTTCCCACTGGCGTCTTATGGCGATAGGATTTGGACCCCAGAATATAAAGTACTAGATATATCCCCATGAGCACGGTGGGAGTGCCGAATCCCCAACCCCAGCTTATGTATGACTGAACGTAAACCAGTACAGTCGCTGAGACAAGTGCACCAAGACTAATCCCAAATACCCACCAGTTGAAGAACGACTTCTTCATCTCGTTTTCGCGCTTGTCCTCCTCGTCAAATTGATCTGCGCCGAACGCAGCAATACATGGCTTCATGCAGCCTCCACCAAGGGACATGAGGTACAGGGCGAAGTAGAAGAACCCCACTTGACCTGCAGTGGCAGAGGGGCACTGCTGAATACCATCAGAAGGCGAGATGAAGCAACCGGGAGGTTTAAACGCGCTCACTGTCACCGAAAGTGTCAACATTACCAACCCCTGCACACTCACACACACACATACAGGACAAATCATCTCAAAATTTTAGTCCTTAAATTCTGTATTGATGCAGATGTTTATTATTCTAAATAACGCTGGTAAGCTTCCTATCCACATTAACCCTCACCACGAAGTAGATGACGCCGCAGATGAGGATGGTCCAAAACCGTCCCCAGAATGCGTCAGCGAGGAACGCCCCAAGCAGCGGTGCGATAAACGTCGTCCCAATCCAGTTGTTCACGTTTGCAGCCGACTTCTCCGTCCCCTCGTGTAATACATGTGTTAGGTATGTCACCAGATTTGCTGAAATTCCATAAAACGCCAGTCTCTCCCCAATCTCGATTCCTAGAGTACATTATACAACAAAATAATTAGTTTCCTGTCGTGTCATAACTTCGAATTTCCAATGCCTAGACGAACGTAGGTAATTATATCTGAAATTGATCACGTCTACTTCTACAAGGTGTACAAATGTTGCCGGAACCGTTTTGTGCAGTTAAATCTGATCGTTCCAGTGTACACGACTCGCAGAACTGGTGCTTGTAGGATATTTCTATACCAATAATAAATGCATTGGCCTTCAAACGCCCAGAGGCCCTCTTGTCTGCTGTATTTCCTCGAAAGTCCACCGACCCGTCTCTGGCCAAGCTCACCGTCCGCTCCAGAGGTGGATGCGTCTTAATAGTGGTTGGATAATTCGTATTGCATATTGGAACCACCTGGTTGCTGTCAGCATCCATTTTTCGCAATTCCCAGGCAGCCTTAAACAACAAAAGCGATACAATTAAAAGCCACGCTTAGTCACTGTAGTTTCGAATATCAACGCAAGGCGCGACACCACTTGGGTGCAGAACAGCTACTGAAGGCATGAGAAACAACACAACTACTACCAATGTGCATCAAGCTACATCAAACACACCCACAGAAGACTTCAAAATCGGCGGCATCAAACAATCATCCTGATTCCATTTTCTAGTTTGAATCCTCAACTGGTTCGGCATCCAGACCGAAGGGGGTAGATGGCACACGAGTATTTTAATGTTCAGCACGTGTCAGGGCACTATCGCAACCTGCTACTCATGGAATGATCATGATATTTATGAAATGAATCATCTCTCATTCTTCGAGGTCATAGACTCTGAAGTTCTTTTATGCTATGTAGTCGGGGTTAATCCCATATTCCTTTTCAGCAGACTTCTTCACGATTGAATAATTTTCCTCCCTCATTGATACGTACCCTCAGTTGATCGGTCTCAACAATCAGCTCTAGTGGGATGATTTGTTTATCTCAGAGAAGCTGATTCCGAAGTCTAATTTCTGGTGTGGTGCATGTACCAACTTCGCAAACTATTAAAACCAGGCAAGTCGTTTGACCGTTTAACATTGGCACTAGTCCTTACGAATTATTCGGCCTCGACAGAGATTCACGATGGTGTTGCTCATTCCAGAGTAGCTAGCGACTTGGCGTGCCTCAACAAAACTTACAAACTTATTTGAAACTGATTCTGATTCTAGTTTCCCGATCGCTTCTCTCAAATCAATGCTGTTGGGCCGAAACGAAAGAGTTTCATAGACAACCAAACACACAACATACAGCGAGTCTTCTTATGAAAGGCGCGGCACGATTCGACAAGCAAACACAGGAAAGTCCTTGCTGTGGCGAAGTGTTCAACATTGCTTTCCTGCACCTGCATGACTTGAATGTCAGGGTTGAATACAACAGTCTAAGTTGGTGAGAATATGAACTGCAGATATCGTTTCCTTTTAAATTCCTAAAAATAACCCACAAGCACACAGCAGTACAAGGCTTCACCTTCAAAAGGTCAAGTGCCTAAACGAAGTTCTGAAAGGAAGTTAGCAACTACTTTCCATCCATGAAGCGCTGCACGCATGGAGGAGATCGACGGACAACCGAGAGAAGGGTTAGATCATGGTCACGCCCACACACATACCATTGAAAATCACTGCCAATCCACTGGAATAGAGCGATGCGCTTGCCCAGGAGTTGCTCCCAGCTCGTCCGCCTGGAGAGCCAACTGGAAGGGGAGTGTAAGAGAGAAAACGAGAGACGAAATATGCATCCGCGCATGCTTTTTATACACTCAAACCACATGCTTCACGAAGGTCCCGCGAACACATCCACCCCAGATCCCCCGAGACTCCAATCTCGACCACGGCACTCGATCAGTGTCGTGATCAGGTGAAACTGTCACGGTACAAGGGGGTGGATACATGACAGGCGCGATTAAATGAACGACCTGAGCAGCTCCACGGATGCGGTAAAGGAAAATCGATTCCGAAATACAATCTTTCCTTGCCGAAGGATGAAAGAGGATCCAATTCGCAATTTTGCGCCAGAGCAAGGGTGCCAGGTTGGGGAGAAAACCCGAACCAAGCAAAACCAGACTAACCCAACCCGAGACCAGTCATGGGCTGTGACCGTCGTCTACGGCCGCAGGAGGGGGACATGAAAGTGCAGGTAGTGTGCGGGGATGGGCGTACTGCGGTCGAGATTCCGTGTCTGGGTACTTGCGGTGCGGCGCTGCTGTGCGCTACTGCTGCTGCTGCTGATGGTATGGTGGTAGTGGTGGTGAGGTGAGGGTGCGGGGTGAGGCCTTTGCAGCAGCAGCAGCAGCGATTGCGGGCGGGCTACATGAAAGAGACACGAGGCAGCGTTGTTTGCTGCTGAGGGGAGTGAGGCGGACGAGACGCGACAGGAAGGAAGTCATCTCTGACACCATTAGTTATGGTGGTTGAGGTGTCCCCTTTCACTCTCCCCCTCCCCTCCTCCCTCCTCCCTCCCTCCTCCCTCCCTCCTACTCCCACCCCCTTCCCTTCCCTTGCCCCTCCATCCTTTGCTGCTTCTTCCTCACCCCTCTTTACGCCCTCTGCACTATCTCCTTCTCATTCCTTCCACCTGTTGTTCAACACATGTATATGTGTGGGTATATACACAAATTCTTAAATCATAGACTGTTCTTCAAACATTCATATATAGATGTGAGTGTGTGTGCATGTTTTATATCTCTAAATATATACATATCTATACACATTCTTGTGTTATAGACTGTGCTTTAATCATTTCAATATAAATATGTGTGTAGGTGTTTGTATATATATATATATATATACATATAAATAGATATATCTCGCACACATTTCACATGTAACCTTAACAATTTGAGTTCTTGGTGAATGTTGATTTCAAGTGATTCAAGTGAAGCTTCCCTAGGTGAACTTTTTCCTAACAACGATTGATTTGGGTATCTTGCAAATGGAAGTGAGAGTAAGATTGTGTAATATTGGATTCATGTTTATTATGTGTTTTGTGTCTTACAAATATTCTTGTGTTTTGAACACTATGCCAAATTTGTTACACTTTTGTCTAACATTTAAATAGCAAGTTGTATCCATGACTTTTGTATGTAGTGTTTTGAATATTGCATTGTGTAATTCACAATCAATTAATTCCGAAAAAATGTCTCTTAAAATTTTCTGAAAAGAATTTAGAGGGAACTTTTTTTTAAAATATGCCTAAACTAATTCGATTCTGAAGATGGCCATGATATGAAACATTAGCTTGAAAAAATGGATGGAATTCATTTCCCTCTTTTTCCCTACCTCAGTGTTATCTCTTCACCATTTTTTTCTTTGGTCTATAGAAATTTACAAACAAAAAATTAGAGTATAAAACCTTGACTCTGTGTGAAGCCACACCTACCGGTACAAGAGGAGCTTGTGCGACCCACTGGAGAAAATAAAAAAAATGAAATAAAACTTACTCTACTCAAGTAAATTGTCTTAAAATGATCAAATAAAACAGGAAACTAAAAATGGTCAAGGATTGGTTCAAAAATTAGGATTTGGAATATCTTTGTAAAGTGATGGTGGGTTAGCTGTGTACCGTTTTTTTTGTCAGAGCATTGCTAATGGGAAAATACGTTGACAGTCCTCAATCTCTGGGAATGGTACAAAAGTACACATTATTTGGAGTTTTTGCTTATTGTAGTGGAGAAGGTAGTTGTCTTCAATTTAATCTAAATGGAACTTCTACTTCAACCATTATCAACACAAATGTAATTTATATTTATGGATGATATCCTCACACCCTAGAGGAGCAAGTGATCTTGCCTTTGAGTGTCCATGGAGGGTACCATGATAAGACTACAAAAAACCAGATAACTCAGTTAAAAAAAACTTGATATGTATATGTATATATATATATATATATATATATAGTATTTCTAATATCACCAAAGTTTACTACTGCGACCACCTTCAACTCAACATATTTTTCTTAGTTTTTTTCTAATTTTTTATAATCAAAAAAATTGTTCAATCAAATGGTTTTAAAGGTATAAAAAAAACAAATCTGATTGGTTTGAAAAGTGTTGATCATAGGTGACATGTGATAGCAACAAAAATTGTGGTGGAATTAGCAGTACCTTTTATATATATATATATATAGACATATACATATAGAACTCCCCAAAAAACGTTTCATAATGTTGCTTCACTAGCGTATGGATGTCTTGTTGCCTAAAATTCAATGTGGTTGTGACCATTATGTTAAAATGATGATATTTGCAAACATCAGTGTCCGATGGTTCACAACTTGCTTTGTTGCAGATTTTTTTTTTGTGGGTGGTTGTGGGGGGTGGCGGTGCATTTCAATATCGATTCTGAAGCTCACCCACAATTTCGTTGAGGTGATCTGTGGCAGTGTTTCAAATTTTGCGAAATGGTTTTCCCCGCTTGTTTGTCTTTCATGTTCTCGTACTTGTTACTTTGGTGATCGGTTAGAGGAAGATGGAATACACTGCAGGTGTTAGCAATGGGGCAGCAGCAGTCAGTCAGTCAGGGGTTATCTCCTTTTCTTTGAAGGAAGAGTGCACTCAGTCATGCTGCGATGCCTCCATCAACGACGTCTAGGCTCGTCGTTCTCTCGCTGTGGCGCAATCTGACCCTGGCGAATCATTCAACGCTTTTGTCGCATACTTATATAGTTGCCGTGTGATCAGTTTTGCGCGCTTAACCTGTTACTTTCGTGTTTTCAGATTCTTGTTGTAGTGCTACGCATTTACTTCAATAGAGCGATGCTTGATCTTCTATATGTAAAGATTCTATGTATCAGATTCAGGACAGACTAACTTCGACTCGCTCAATTGATGCTGGAGAAAGATACTTGGAGTTTGCTCTAGAAATACTGAAGAGATTGTTTTTGGAAATTGCCAACATGGAAACACTCGTCGCGTGTGTCTCTTTCTATTTGCTATCATAGTATTCAAAGTATTCGAACCTCAGTATCCAGTTTGAGAGTGGAAGTTGAAGCGGTCACGGCTGCTTTACTCCGAGAACATAGTTTCTAAATCGTATCGAACTTGTCAACATAACAAAAGATACAACCAAGAGTGAAGAGATGCGCCCAGCCATATGAAATACTGTTAGTGATAGCAAATCTAGTTGCCCTGAGCTCAGCTTTTATGGCATCAACGATCAAATGGGACACACCCTTGTGCGCTATTCACAGAATCTACAGGACACAGAATACATGCTCGTTAATCTCAGTAGTTGTAAGGTTTGCTTGACAGGGAAGTGCTGAGTCCTCCACGTGAACAAACTTAGACATTGTCTGCTATGTGCTGGTCCTGTGACGGATTCTGTATACATTCACGATGTGAAGGGTAGTGCATTTGTGCTTGCCTCTCCGCTAATTCGAATACATCCCACTAAGAACGTAGACTTCTATCTACGAATTCGCAGCCGACTCATCATTGAATTCGCAAGTTTAGTTTGATTTGCACCATTTAAGACTGCGCATTTCAAGTCAGTTTGCTCGACATCTCATATCCCAACTTCCAAAGTGAGGAATCTTGCAAAAGTCCAACATAATTAACAAAACTAATCCAGAATTATCTTGTTCGCATGGCCTCCCAAAAATGTCTCCACAACAGGGTTCAAAGGATTTTCCTAAACGGACATGAATAGAAAGAAATTCATGGAACTCCAGTATTCACACATCCGCTTCTGGAAGAGGGGCATATTCTTCAATCCAAAAAGACGCAGAGGATTGAAGAAATAGTGCCCACTACAACAGCAGGAAGTAATCTCTACAGCGCATTACTTAAATAGATATTTGATGTGGTCATGTCACTAGGTATACGCTTGACATAATTATTTCTATTAATTTGTTACAGAAAAGGAGCTCTGCATCTTCCTCTGTTTTGCTATGTTTACATGAATAAGTGCCATTTGCGGACTTCCTTAAACTCGCTATCTAGACTGCCATAACGCTCGCAATCCAGAACTTTACATAATTGGTATGAACTACAGCCCTGGAAGACCTGGGGGGCTCGTAGAGACGTTGGCCAAGATCGGACCATGAAATTGTAATGCTGCTAAGTAGGCACCGATGCCTGCAACGTATCCAGCGAATGCATACCCACTCACCTGCCATATAAAAAGAATCACTATTTGATACCAAGCATGCAAGAGCAATAAAACAAAATCACGGTCAAAATCTCTACTGTGTTGTGACCTGTTTTCAAATCATCGACCTCGAACAAGGATTTTTTATACAATACAGATAAATGAAAAAGCAAGATAAATGCAGATTCATACCTTTTTTAGATACCATAAGAAGTCAGCTTTTTCCATGCCCATGTAGGCCACACCCGCAGCAGAGCCAATGACAAGAATAGAACCACCAGTTCCAGCACAATAAGCTATGAGCTGCCAAAGCTCTGAATCTACGGGGAACTGCTCGGTGGAGTACATTCCCATTGTCGCAGCTACAATAGGTACATTATCAATAACAGCTGATACCAACCCAATTGCGCCCGCAATCAGCTCCACACTTGGGATATGGTCGTTCAAATACTGAGCTAGGTCCTGCAATATCCCCGCTGATTGCAAGCTGCTCCACGTCACACCAAAGCACATTAAAAGGATGTTCACTCTTCCCAGTTTCTTCTTTCAAGAGAAGACTCGCAACATTAAATTCATCGCAACTGTCGAGGGCGTTAAAAATAATAACTATGAGACAGTTTTTAACTGTTGACGCAGAGTATACTAATTCTCAACTTCTAAACCAAGCAATCATAAAAGTGGTATGGTTACAGGCATTGGGACGCATGATTTACACACCTTCCAACTGAAAGAAGGATGCCGAGAAAGAACAGGACACCTTGCGTGTCAATCCGTGAAAGAGCCTGTGGTACTTTCAATTGCTGTCGGCCAGTTTCACCGTAGTGTATAGCATCAGTTAGGAGCCACAATGTCCCCAAGCCTAGAAGCATCCCAAGGAAGGGGGGCAGACCAGTCAGAGACTTAAAGACTGGCACAAACAAGAGGGCCCCAATTCCTACTCCAAACACAAGCTGTCCTCTCGGAGCCATCTGCTCTGATGTCAAAGCTGGTGAAGAAACCTGCGAATTACTCTCTGCATCTCTGCACAAAGATAATATGCATCAAGTTCTATCTTTCGCCCTTCATGGTGGCGAATTTTCGAAGTGCAACATAAGATGTGGGAACAATGCAGGCACTCACCTGCTAAAAGACATCAGAGTAAGTGGAACAATTAGCGAAATTGCTGAGGGAATAAAGAGGTCCTGCAACCCAAGGAAAGCTTCTGTAAGTCTTCAACAAACCCCATCAAGCCGTAGAGAACGAATTTGTCATCTCCAACTGTCAGGTGAGAGTTCAACACAAGTAATTTTTCTACTAGAATCATAGACACGTGCATTAATGATCTGAAATCAGTCAACTATCAATCGCATTACCTGTATCGTCCGTGCTGAAGAAATATGGCCATGAATCCACAGCATGGTGGTAGTAACATCCCCAATAGGTGTCCATGCACCACCTGAATTGGCTGCAATCACCACCACTGCTCCTAGAAATCTATTGAGCCCGTCCCCATTCATGGATCAGAAATCTCTCAAAGATGGCAAGTTTATACGTGACCACATATCAATTATCAAACCCAGATAATCAACAAAAGCAATTTTGCCCATAGGATCAGTGACATGTGACTACCATAAAGTATCAAGGCGTAACCCTTCAGACAGTCGGATGAAATTCATACCTGCGTTGCTCAGGATCATTGACCAACTTGCGCAGCAGTGATACCATCACGATGGTAGATGTCAGATTATCCAACACCGAACTGAGGAGGAAGGTAATCACACCAACCTATTCATAACCAGGCCCATTGTGAATCTAAAAAAAGTTTGAGCTAGGACACAATAGTATCATTTACATGTTGGTGTCAATAGGGCCATTCCTATGACTTGAAAGCCACATGTCTCAGGTCACCTCCAGGAAAAGAACTGTTGTTCTCTGGGTTGATAGCACACATAAGACTTCAGGATATACCCTAAATCCAAGGTTAAGGAACTGCTGCAGCTTTCAATGTTCCAGGAGATTCATCTGCAGCTAGATTTCGCAGCCACGTAGTTAACCAAAACTTGACCTTTGTAAATAAACAGGTGGATTTATGTATACGTCATGAAAGTTCAAAACTCGGGAGTCAAAGGGCAGTCCTCCCTACCACCCAAAGAAGCAGGCGTGGCTTTCGCGTTGTGATGGAATCAGTGACAATCTTAAATCCTTGATGTGCGTCGATAATTTCCACAATGGTCATGGCACCCAGTAAGAAGAACACGATTTCGCTAACCTCAGAACAGGAATGTGTCAACTGTTCTGATGCTACCTCCGTAGAAGGGGCCTGTCATCAAGATCACCATCGTCAGATTCAAAAGATGTGAGGGACTTCAAAAGAACTACAAGTATTTTACAAAAGGAAACATATGAAAGTTTAAGAAATGATTATTTAAAAAAAAATCCTGCACGTTGCCCCATTCCATGAGCAGACCACGTTAGTTTTCGTGGTCAAATATTGAAATACTGGATTAAATAAAATATATCAACGATTGAAATAACTCATAGTAATCATTTCCTAGACTTTGGTACATCGAGATCGCCCCTAATAGTCGGGATGATACAAAGGCCTGTTCAGCAAACGTGAGCTCTCCATCACGGAGTCTTGCCTTCGATATTCATATGGACAAATAAAACAGCAGGTTGAATCCTAAGAGTTAGGGATCGAGGACGAACAACATTTTACACAAAAACAGCCGGGCAAACCCATGCACTTCAGATACCATTACTTAGGTTGCACTGACAAATCCTTATTCGAAATGTTTCTAGTTACCTTAACCTTAAACCCCAAAACTACGCGAGTAAATGCCAGACAATTCCTTGAAGGGGAAGAGATACAGAAGTTGAGGGGATACCCCAATGCTTCGAATCACCCATAGGGCCACTGCCATTAGGAGCCCTACTCCACTCTTGTTGAACGCTAGAGACTCTTCGAATATGATTCCGAGATATCCAAGTCCAAACACCGCTGACATAGCGAGGTTCTGAGCATCCAGAAATAGCACAGTCAGGTACACTCATTTAAGTAATCCGATGCAAAAGAGCAAAACTCGAAACTAACGTGTCTTCTAACAGTGCAGTCAAGCCCTTGTTCACGAGAAAAATACGAACTCTTACCTGATTTTCAGCCACCCAAGAATGATTGATAATTGCAGCACCAGCAAGCATAGACCCAGCAATTACAACCGCCTTGGTAAAATCCGAATTCGGCTTGTAGCTGGCTTCAAACTCCACAGAGCTCATCTCATCGACCGAGCACAATGGATCACATGCTCCAGCAGGCGTATCCTCATAATCGTCTGCCAAATAATACACCTCCTGCAGTTCCTCGGACACCGAGTAGCTCTGCCCTCCCAATCCATCCCCCAAGATCAGCCGCTTGCAATTGTAGTACAGCTCAAAATTCTCAGAAATTCTCCACTCAACTGCATCCGCTGTCTTGCTCTCGCACAAGCGCTCGAACTCCCATCCTCAAATCAAACAAAACCCACTGCCAATGCAATTCGCATCACCCCGCCACAAGAAAACCACAAACTCACAACGAATCTCACTGGCCGATCTACCCCACCAACCTCCCACTACAAACCCAATTACGCTCTCAACTACACCAGACTGCCAGAATCCCGTCTAAGAAAAGCACAGAAACTAGAATACCTTGGGAGCAGGCTCGGATCCATCGTCCACACTAGAAGCTCGAGTGGCAACCAGCAGGCAAGGAGACGGGCGAGGAGACAGCCCAGTTGCCAAGCGAGGCAGGCGGCAGCGCAAGCCCTGCAGCGATCCAGGTTGAGAATTAGATCCTAGATGCTGCCACAAAAACAAGGGACGTGGAGCAGCAGCCATTGCAGCCATCGTGGTCGCCATGACCACGAGAGCTACAAGCAGCAGCGGCAGCAGCAGCAACAATGAAGTGATTACAACGTAAGATGTAGTGGACCGGACGCGAGAATCGTAATACGAAGTGAGTTGTTGAGCTTGTGGATCTGCATAGAAATTCACACCGAGATGGATCAACAACAAAGGGGATGAATCGGGAAACAGGGGAGGGGGAATTGAGCGGTTCGGCGGTGCGAAGGGTTCGACACCGCGGGAGCTCCAGCGGCAACGCAGCAGCTGACGGCGCAAAGCTCACGACGAAGACGCTCTCACCATAGCTCAGTCCTCCCTTTCGCCTTTGCCCCTTTCTATCTAATCTAGTAAACAATCATTTCCCATGCAAAGCCCTCTTCACAACAACACCCCTTTCCAAATATTTCAAATATCTCTCTCCCTTCTCTCCCTTCTCTCCCTTATCATGTTTCGAAAAAATCTATATTATATTAACGTGGGGTAATGACTTTAAGCTTTCTGGGATTAGAGGTTTCACTTAGATTGAATTGGTTTGAGTGGTTTAGATGGATATGAAGTGTTTTATTGTGAAGTGACTTGTTGAGCTTTTTGGTGTCACACTTGGTGCTCTTCTTTTCGGGTGGACTTTTAAGAATGTGGTGACAGATGTGATATTTCGTTTTCATTAGTGAAGGTTTTGTTTCGGAAATAGAGGGTAACGGTGAAAGAAATAAAGAAATAAAAGAAATAAAAATAAATAAATAAAACTTGTGTGTTGAGTATTTAATAATAGTTATTTTACATGTCTATGTATTCAAAGAATTTGGTGATTGCGTGAATATATTATGCAACATAAACCATCAAATTTATGTCTACATTAACTAGAAATAAAAACATATTTTAGAGAATTTGATAAAAATTAATGAATCAAATTAAATTACACATTGTTTACATTGTTGCAATTTATTTTGTTACAGTTGCTCAATATTTGGGTCCATTGAAAAGTTTTTTAAAGATAGGTTAATTCTCTTAAACTCATTATCAACAACAACAAGCAAACAAAAAATATAACATAATATAATAGACATTTGACACGTAGAGGATACACCGTTATGTTGGTATCTCCACACAAAAATAGCCTTTTAAATATTAAATTTTTCGTTTTTTACAAAATAAATGAATAAATGAATAAAATCTTTTGAACTACTATGAACCACTAAGACAAAATCTAAAATTTCAACATTAAGTATTATCATAAAACATTGCAATAAAATCTATGCATCATCATGGTCTCACCTGAAGAACAAAGTACAGTCCTGCAATTTCAATTATCGGAATATTTATTTTAAATTGTAATTGAGATATGATTTTTCCGTTTATAAATTCAATAATGCAACGTGTACATTGATTTAATGCACAGAGTCGTAAGCCTGATTACAATTTTCTTCCTTCTGCACACCGTATGTTTTTCTTGGTCAGGTACATTGTATTGCTTTGTTCCTTTATGTTAAGGATGGTTAGGTTCGTAGGACAATACAAATCCTGATTGCAAATTCTTTTTCCTGATAAATAACCAAGTATATCATCAGTGAGTGTTGAAATGTCGTGGTATGTGCCCGAATAAATTTAGTAGGAACAAACTTTCTATATGCAAACTGCACATCTAAGAAAATTATATGAAATTCTGCTGATGTCGAAATTGTCACTGATACTTGTCACGCTTTTTGCGTTGGTGGGAACAGTTTCAGTTGAACTTGGTGAACGTACTGAGGTAACGAATGGCTTTTTTCTATGTGTTTATTTGTCCTGGAAGGTTTAAGATGCATCTCATGCTATACTTGGATTTAAGCGGCAGTCATTCCTCGACATAAGCTAAGAAATGTTTGTGACGTGGTATTCTGCACAGTTTTACACTTGCAATGAGAGATGCTCTTCACATGCAAGAATTCTAAATTCAGCGTTTAACAATTATTTGGAAGATAACTGGCTGGACTTTATTGTCAAAATTACTTTGTACATTGTTCACAGTTCATTGCGTATGCTGACTAAAAACTCTATTGGAGTACTCTGCAGAACAGGCATGAAATATCACGTGACGTTCAAACATACACGACGGTGCTTAAGACAGCAGCCTCGAGGGAATTCTCCAATCAAAAAGGGCAATTATACAAAGCTTGGAGTCATCAGACTTGTCTGTTCGCCGATCGCCGTTTTACCTGATCATCTTAACCAAATCTCATTCAGTGCACCTCTTCATTTAGTCCACCTCTTCAATCGTTGGGCCAGCTCCACCAGTGCCAGGGTTTGCACCACCTCCATAGTTGCCTGCGGGGCTAGGACCAGCAGCACCTCCTTGGTACATGCGCGAGATGATGGGGTTGCAAATGTTCTCCAGTTCTTTCTGCTTATCCTCGAACTCATCAACTTCAGCAAGTTGATTAGCATCCAACCATGTGATAGTGTCGTTTACAGCTTTCTCTAGCGCCTGCTTATCGTCGCTGCTGAGCTGACTTGAAATTTTATCATCCCTTATGGTGTTCCTCATGTTGTATGCATAGTTTTCGAGACTGTTCTTGGCATCCACTTTCTTCTTGACCTCTTCATCCTCGTTCTTGTACTTCTCTGCATCTCGCACCATCTTCTCGATGTCTTCCTTGCTCAGCCTACCCTTGTCATTCGTAATGGTGATCTTGTTCTTAACTCCAGCCGTCTTGTCCTCGGCGGACACGTTCAGTATACCATTAGCATCGATGTCAAAGCAGACGTTAATCTGCGGCACACCTCGAGGAGCAGGTGGAATTCCAGTGAGCTCAAACTTCCCCAATAAATTATTATCTCTTGTTCTTGCTCTCTCGCCTTCGAATACCTGGATAAGAACCCCTGGCTGATTGTCGGAATACGTCGAGAAGATTTGCTCCTTCTTCGTGGGAATGGTCGTATTCCTTGGAATAAGTGTGGTCATAACACCGCCAGCGGTTTCGAGTCCTAAACTAAGAGGAGTAACATCCAACAGCAATAGGTCTTGAACCTTTTGACTACCCTCGCCGCTAAGGATTGCAGCTTGAACTGCTGCTCCATAAGCAACGGCCTCATCGGGATTAATGCTCTTGCAAAGTTCCTTCCCGTTAAAGAAATCCTGTAGGAGACTCTGCACCTTCGGAATTCGGGTGGAGCCGCCAACAAGAACAACCTCCTGAACTTGACCTTTGTCCATCTTGGCGTCCCGTAGACATTTCTCAACAGGCTCCATACATTTGCGGAAAAGATCCATGTTCAATTCCTCGAATCTTGCTCTCGTAATAGTGGAGTAGAAATCAACACCTTCGTACAATGAATCAATTTCAATGGTGGTCTGTGCAGTCGCTGACAACGTCCTCTTCGCTCTTTCGGCGGCAGTACGTAGGCGACGAAGAGCTCTGGCATTACCAGTAATATCCTTCTTGTACTTTCTCTTGAACTCCTGAACAAAGTGGTTCACAATCCGATTGTCAAAATCTTCACCACCAAGATGTGTATCTCCTGCTGTGGCCTTCACCTCGAAGATGCCTTCCTCAATAGTCAACAACGATACATCGAAAGTTCCACCTCCAAGGTCGAAAATCAGGATGTTCTTCTCTCCCGTCGATGAACTCTTCTTATCCAAGCCATAAGCAATTGCAGCAGCCGTAGGCTCGTTGATGATGCGCTGAACGTTTAAACCAGCAATAGCACCTGCATCCTTCGTTGCTTGCCTCTGAGAATCATTAAAATAGGCTGGCACTGTGATGACAGCATTCTTCACAGTCTTTCCAAGGAACACTTCTGCAACCTCTTTCATCTTGATCAACACCATGGATGAGATTTCTTCAGCAGCAAATTGCTTCGTCTCTCCCTTGTAAGTCACAACTATGAAAGGCTTATTCCCTGGCCCGGCAATCACTTTAAACGGCCACAACTTCATATCACTCTGTACAGACACATCATCGAATCGCCTCCCAATCAACCGCTTCGCATCGAACACGGTATTCGTCGGGTTCATAGCGACTTGATTCTTAGCTGCGTCTCCAATCAACCGCTCCGTGTCAGTAAACGCAACATATGACGGTGTGGTGCGGTTTCCTTGATCATTAGCAATGATCTCCACCCGATCATGTTGCCACACTCCAACACAACTGTACGTCGTTCCCAAATCAATCCCGATCGAGATCCCTTCGCTTTTCCCCGCCATGTTTACACGAATCACTCAAACACCTCAAGAAACGAAAATGGAAAAACAAAGAGACAAAAAGTCTCTCCCTCAGACAAACTTTAATATGGATCCTAAATCCTCAATTCAATGTCCTATCGCTAGATCACCAGCCCACGAGTACAATTTACAATCGGATACAAGCACAAAGTAACTTCCGCGATCTAGAACTCGCTTAAGAGTACGAGAGATCTCGCTATCACACTCCGCTAACAATTGTTGTTCATGGAAATCCAGGGGAGGAGGACCAATATATACAAGCAAGTCGAGAGCGCGATAGAATTCACTGAAAGGAAGGCGGTGTTTCGAGAAGCACAGCCAGTTGGCGCTTCCAAAGATTTCCGCGAGTTTCTAGATTTCTCCGGAAACACCTAGACTCATCCACGAACTTCATGGGGAATATTTCGCAGTTGGTGGATGTTGAAGTCAATTTGACAATCAGTGTTTAACTTCATGCATGCAGTCATCCATCCACACGGGTCTCGAACGAATTTGGTACACTTCATTCATCCATCGTCACTTTTTGGTTGGTTTTGTCAACTCGTGTCAGAATAGCAATGGGACTTGTTTATGAAAGTGTCCACGGAACGTTGCACACCATGCACCGGTGGAATGCGCTGCCGTCTAGACTCTTCTCGCAGGTTTGGGCTCTACCGTGGGATCTCATTAGAGTTCGAGATTGTTCGTAAAGACTGTAATTTTTGTGAGCTGTTGGAAGCATCTAGAAGTGCCACTCAATTTTGAGGTGAGTTGTCAACCCATCACCGTCCATATTCGTTCGGGTTGTACTGATTAATATGCACGTTGATTTCCAGTGGAAATATCTATGTTCTTCGTCAGTTTAGAATATCTTTGAGGTTGGTATGCATTGTATTGAGATGGTGTATTTCCTACCACAATGCGCTGAGATCTGACGGATGAGGCACGATAGTTGTATATATGTCGACTGTTGATGTGAATTTCGGTAACAAAACCCTCGAGTGTGAGCACCATAAAGAGTGCTCAGTTCACGATGAACTGTGCACTCTTCATGGTGAAATGTGTGCTTTGGATGTCGGAACTTAACTCGTTGGACCTGTCCTTCCCACATATGTAAGAGCTCCAGTCTGAGAAGTCTTAATTTTAATTACCTTAATTTTAATTGTCGCCACTGTGTTGAAATAACGGAATTTGATTCAGATTGCTACCAGCAAAGATTTATCTAGACTCGTGTGGATTCTTCCTAGAGGTTTCGGGTTTAGGATACGAGCATATTTTCTAAAAAGTATCATGGTTATGGCATATCGAAGTACTCTGGCGTCGTATTTGTATTTCGGCATTACAGGCCTCCTTTCGAGAGGGTAATGATATTGAAACTTGCTGTATGAAGTTTTGAATGGTCTGGATTTAAGTTGGCTTCCGCTGAATAAAAATTGTGCTTTGAATAGTTTGAAACTAATACGCCGATGCTCATTTCGCTGTGCACCTTGTTTTACTGATTCTGATTACTGTGATACTATTATGGCATTCAGGGTGTTCAATTGGGTTCGTTATTGCGGCAGCCACACCAGCAAAAACAGATACAATCCCCTAGCCATGGCCACCTCAGTCTCATGCGCAGATGCAACAGATTTGGGACGGGAAACTGTCCATGGTTGACTAGAGGTATGACTTTCGAAAGGCAGGTACCTTAGGACCTCTTTCGGAACCAAAACAGATTGTGCAGTGGCGTTCCGGAACCAAAACAGATTGGACATAATTATCATCATTAAATAATTCCTATTTAAGTGACGTCCTCGATGCAGGTACTTGCATAACGATGTCGTTCCAGGTTGGTACTCTCTAAGTTACCTACTAAGGTGAGAGAAATGTTTGAGTTTCAAACGAATATTTCAAGGGTCTAGTAATACGTTACATTTGATATATTGGTATGTACTAGTATTGATGCAGTGGAGTAAGATGAATAAACTGATAGAATGTACATGGTTGAATCAACACAACAAGCGTCTTGGGTTCAAATTCGAATAGTGAATCTGCCCCAAACCATATACGTATTAAATTAAGGGAATTGTTAAATTGACCCACCCAAACATTTTTTAATTGGTTTTCAACCAATGCAGATCCAACAGTGCATCTGTTTTAGATAATGGTTAGAGTGGGTGGGTCGATTTAGTAAATGCCTGGGTCAATTTAACAATTCCCTAAATTAAAGATTGAATTTCCACTTTCGAATACAGTAATCAAACGATTAAAACACTTTGTTACTTCGAGGAACATACATACGACATATGTGTATCACTACGTATCAATGAGATGACTGTACTTAAGATGTAAACCGTAGCTAAGCAAGTCTGCAAAACAATTGCAACATTGACATAAACATCCTTTAATAAGGAATTTGATACAGCAAGGGTGATTCTACAAATTCTCAGCATCGTCACTTCTATCCACTTCAAAAAAAACAAGCAGCTTGTCTAGGAGATTAAGAGAGTGGATACTAATGGAGGCACTGGTAGTACCACAATACCAGCTGTTGGAATATCTTAGGGCCAGAATACCCAAGAAAGTGTTAATTGAGGTCTACTGTGAAAAAGATTAGAGGGTGTTCTGCATAGCCTTGAGCAACATGCTCAAGACATTGAATCGACCCTGGGTTCGTCCAGAATCTTTTACGATAAAGATGAAAACTAAAAATCCGGAATGTGAGACAGCCATCCACGTAGTGAGGTATTCGAAGAAATATGGACGCGATTGTACCACTTAAAATTCTTCAAGATAGGAGGTGCGAATTTATATCCCTCAAGAAAATCTGAAGGGGATGTTACTTCGACAAGGTCAAGGAATTGAATTCTCAAAACCATACAAGAACTTTAAAAAGGGAAAGTAAATTCATTCGAAAGAAAGACCCAAATCCTAATGCAGAAAATTGATTAGACTCAAACCTTGTATTCAAAAAGTAAAGGTACAGGTCTGATCGTCCACTGTACGAGACAAATTTAGTATCCTCCCTTGAGGTCGTTAACAACATCGTAAGGAATGGGAGTGACAGTCTCTAGAGTTGACGAGTCGAGAACAAATCCGGCCCTAGGCCCAGCAGGCTGACGCTTGAGGTTCACGGTTTCACCCTTGGCCTTCGCCTCGGCCTTCTTAAGGTCATTGCTCTTGCGCCGCTCGAGGAACTCTTCCCGGCAGCGTGAAGGCTGCACGTGCTCAATGCGCACATGAAGACGCTTCTGGATGATCCTGTTCCCGACCTACGAATTTTTCATGGGCCATCAGCTCGCATGGTAATATGTAAACCAAGCATCAAACTCATAAATTCATAATTTGAAAAACTAACATAGGTGGGAGGATATGGTTACAAAAGTATGACTTTACACTGAAAACCATCCTTCAAAGATTTCTCATGACTTGAACATAAGATCCAGATTTTGGTAATAGGGCACCAGGATGTGCTTTAGTTCTACAAAAGCGACGCTAAGAAGACAGCTACAACTCCCACTAATTTTAAGTAGCGAAGTATGATTACTTTTCGACTCATAGGAAATACAGCCTAAAACCGTACCAAACAAGGGGCCTTGACATTACAGTCCAAAAAGCAAGAAATTATAAGTTTTTTTCCACATGCATACAAAATCTGGTCATGATTAACATGGAAGCACTAGTAAAGCTAGTAAATGAATAAGCCAGCACTAAAATTAGAGTTGAACAAAACGAGTCGTTCAGCAATAGATTAGGTCCAAAATAAGTGATACGGGTTATCAATCATTGAAATCAATTGCACCGGGGACGAAAGTGTACAGAGGAATCACGTCAGTAGAGACGAAAACCCTAAACCTAAACAGACCTGACAAGGAGAAATGAAGGAGCCCTACCCACCCCAAGTACACAAATCAATCCATACTCAAGACCTTCGGCATCTCAAAAATGGTAATTGAGTGATAAGAGAACGGTATCAAGGTGGCATCGTCTCTCCGGACCATAAAGAAATGGACAGAAACAGAATGCTACATGCGTCTGATGTAAGGACACAAGGGGCACAACAAAAACCACAAGAATTGCCGTTGGATCGTAAAAAAAACACTACACCTGCTTGTTCATCACGACACCAACTGCGCGCTTGGTGACATTCCAGACGATACCGGTGCGCCCGTGGTAGAACTTGTGGGGCATTCCCTTGTGGACGGCTCCGTTCACCTTGATGTCTACATATTGGCCAACCTTGAAGGTGCGCAAGTAGGTGGTCAAGGGGATGTACCCTTTGTGCCTGAAGGGCCTGGAGAACAGGTCTCTGGTGCGGGATCGCAGACCATGACCGGCCGGCATCTTAACAGCGGCGTATCACGATCTCCGCAAGCTGACGGAGGGTCGGGAGGTGAAAACGAAAGGGCATGCAAACACGCACTTGTGGTTTAAAGCCTAACCTCGCTCCACTGGTTGCTACTTTAGGTCTGGAATTACCGAACCTATACATCTCGGGTAAGGACAGTAGGCCTGGTTGGGTCGGGCCGGGTTGAATGAATATCCCCGCCTGTGATTTCAAACCCGTTTTTAATTACATTTCTTTTAGCTGCACTATTTTTTGGTGATCAGAAGTAAACACATGACAAATACTATAATTTTATTGTTGATGGTTTTTCAAAGTTTCATATAATGATCATATGTAATAGAAAGAATGATATAATGTGGTAAATAAGCTGTGATTATTGATCTCAATGAGTCAGAAATAAATATTAATGCAATTTAGAGAGTCAAACATTTCTGTAATAAATATTAAAAAAAAGATAAATAATCGAAATTTGAAGTAAAGTATTAGAGATTTTTTTCTAAATTGGTTTGATTTCTGTTAGAAATTTTTTCCATTTAAATTACTTAATATTAAAATAGGTGTCAAATGAACTTTTACAGAATCATTGTTTTTTAAATTACATTTTTGATGTTTAAAACTTGACTTTAGTATTACACTTCAAAACTCTATTGACTCTAGATTTAAATTTTACTTTGTAATCATATTTAGATGATTGTAAGGATATTCTTATACATAAGGCAAAGTCCTTTCACATTATTTTTACATTAAAGTTTCATGATTTAAAAGACAATATATAATACATTGAATTACTTTGGTAACTAAAATTAAAGTATTCCATTCAAACATATATACAATATTATCTTTTCTAAATTATGGGATCAATTTGAATCCTAAGATAGAATTTGGATGAGGTTATAACTTAGTAAGGAATCACTTAAGACCATAGAATCGTGTGAATTCCATTGTTTTCCTATAATTTTGCAAAGGTTATAACTCAGTAGAGGTAATATTGTATGCAAATAAATAAATAAGTAAATAAAAAATAACTATGAAAATATATATATATATATATATATATATGTATATAATTTTTTGTAATTTTTTTATTATAAATCATAGTACTTTTGATAACAAGTCAACATTAAAAAAAGTGTGTAAAACTTAATGTTTTTGTGCATGTATTTTATAAATTTATGGGACACAACATCAAGAAATTATTTCGAAATAAATGCCATATATGAACCATTTTAAACTTTTGGAATAAATGTAAAAATAAAAATGATAATACATTGCATATCAAATAGATGTGGCTTTAATATTTTAAATAGACATTAATTTTTGATGTTATTCATATCAAACTTAACTACAATTTTAATTCAAACAAAATTAGCTTTAACCGTTTAGAATATAATGATAGATTGTTACTTTCAATGTTAAAGAATAACATGCCATTAAATATATAAATAAATAAAATTTTAAAATTAAATCAGATTTAAATAAATATATATATATAAAAATTATATATGTATATATATAATTTTAAAATATCATATCATATCATTAGATAGTGACTAAATGTCAAGGACAAGAACTTGATAAAGACAAATAAACAAGTGAGACTTCTCTCACAAAAAGATGAAAAAATAGAAATAACTCAATATGTATATTAAGAAAGAAATTGGAATGGCTTTTTCCAAAAGACAAGAAAACTAGAGATCCTTGAAACTAAACTAGAAGCAAGAAAAGAGTTGAAAAGAGTGAAGAGGGCTTCACTCTTGTCTCTACATATACTATTCAATTAAGGGCTACGTGGCGATGTTCTATAGGACCTCCAATATATGTTGACTTTGTAGGACACATGCCTTGACTTATAAAGCAAGTTTTTCTACGTTTGAGCCACATAGTTAGCTTGGTCTTCAAGTTAAGAATATGTGTGGCACATGGCCAACTTGTTGACTACGTTTCTAATCCAAAAATTCAATTAAAGACACCTGTAAAGTCAAAGTAGTATCTATGAAGCTTCTAAGAAGCTTCAATAGCAAATATTATAGAATTAACTTACTTTTATCTATTTTTACTTATTTCTATCTATTTATACATGTAATTATTGGCTTACATGCATATGTCCGTGATATTACCCCTCTTTTTAAGGACGAGTTCCACAAGGAGTGGTCATCATATGTTGAAGAAATCTATGATGCGACAAATTATATTTGCTACATACTTTGATTTCTTAAAAGATGATTGATAGGGCCTTTCAACCATGGATAGTGTTCCATACTAGGGCGGGAAGACCACTCAGTTATTCAATCGTTATTGAGGCCTTTATAACTTCTTTTGAATAAAATATTTAGAATACGGTCAAGAGTTGTTCCTACCTCTAGCAAAATCACCAAACATCGGGAGTCCCTTCCAAGGTCACGATACCAAATGTATTGTATCTCGCCATCTATTCGAAGAAGAACATGTCATTCTTGAAGATTTTCATCTCGATTGTATTTTTGTAAAGGTTGTGATAATCGTAATGTCTCGTAAAACAGATCAATAAACGAAGGCTCTTGAGTCAAATTTGCTGGTTGTTGGTTCTCTATCTCCTCAGCGTCACAACTAAAAAGAAGCTACAAAGAATGATTGAAAATAGAATGTTATTTTGTCTAAATCTTGTTTCTTTTATAAGAAAGGTTTTTATCTTGATTTTGATGGATGTTGTCGATGAAAAGCCTCCACCGCCTTTGCTGCATTTGCAAGATTCTTTATTGGGTCCCATGTGCATTCACTAATATCATATCCGCTCCAATGGACAAGATATTCCAATTTATTTCGGTGCCGCCTTGAATCTAAGACTTCTTCTACTTCAAACTCTTCATTATTGTCCATTTCTATATGAGGAGGTGGAACTTGTCTTCTTCTTGGTATGTCCAATGTCTTGTATGGTTAATAGATTAATTTAAAGAGAGTGGATTTAAGAAACTTTATTTTGAGTTTTATCTTTTTTGATTATAACATTTAAAAAAATCATAAGACCTAAATGTTTAGTATGGAGCCTTAAGAGGAGATTAGAGTCTAAAGAAGAAATTCTTAACTAATAGAAGGCTTATTGGGAGGGATGAAAGCCAAGGCATGGTTGGATGAAGGCAAGGAATGGAAAACTTCATTCCTATTGGTCGAAGGCCATGCCCAATAGGCTTCGAGGAGGCTACTAGAGGCCTTATTAGGAATTAGGGTTTTTCTTTCGAAGTCATTCGAACTTTAGAGGCTAGGATCAGCAAGTTCAGGGTTTTGGGTATAATTTGGGTGAAGTAATTGTATGATTTCAAGTTTTTTTGAAGGAGATATAGGTGTTCAAAGATAAGGTGTCAAATTTGTATCTACTATCACTCTTTGAAGCATAACATTTGCATACGGAGAGCAATGAAAGATCGGCGACTAGAGTTGAAAAGGACACTTTCTTGGCTACACTATACATATACTTTTTGACTAATTTCAAGTTTGGATGAAGGATTTATTGACATTTGAAGACAGCACATGTAATTCAAAGGCAGTAAGTAAGTCATTTTGTTGATAGTAATGGTTGGAGTCATATCTTGAGTTCTTAGGAGAATTTTTGAGTCAAATTTTTCATAAGTGTGAATTATTAAGTTAAAAAGCTATAGATCAAAGTTTCATGGTATTTGAGTACTTATTTTGTGAGATATGAAGAAATTAGCACACAGGTGTATGTAAGCTAGGGTGTAAAGCTATTGTTAGGATTTTGGTGATATCTCAAGATCCGTAATGAATTTGCAATTGAATTTTTTTGTGAAAGTTTTTGAAAGTTTATCAGTACTTCAAGTAAAATATAGGGTTGTTTGGATGGTCCGATCGTGAGATATGAGCAGTTGAAGTTTGGAAAAAATCTCTCATAAGGATATATAAGGTTTTAAGATCTTTATTATACATTTGGGTGTTTTCTTGGTACTTGGGCTTGTGTTTTGATGTAATTGTCCTAAAAGGGAAAATATTATATGTATAAACTTGGTTTTTTATATCTTAGACTTAATTGAGTATTTAGTGGCAGCTAGAAGCCCAACGCTTTCTTGAGGCAAATTCTCTCTACTCCGACACTGTGTTATTATAAGCAAACTTTGCCAATGAAAAAAGAGTTGTCCAATCAACTTGTTGGTAGTTGTTGGTACATCTTAAATATTTTTCCAAAACTTGATTAACATGCTCCATTTGTCCATCAGTTTGAGGATGGAATGTAAAAGATAGTTTTATATCCACTTTTAGAATCTTGAAAAGAGTCCGCGAAAATCTTGATACAAATTGAGTTCTCCTATTTGATATAATATTCTTGAGTAATCTATGATAGCGATATACATTTTCAAGAAAAAAGTTAGTTGTTTCTTCACATGTGATGGATTTTGTACATAGTATAAAATGTGCCATCTTAGTAAAACGATCTACTATCATGTATATAGAATCATAAGAACCTGAGATTGAAAGATCTGTGATGAAATCCATAGAAACAAAAGACAATAGTTGTTCTGGAATGGATAATGGCTGAAGAAGTTCATAAGGTTGAAGACGAGGAGTTTTTGATCTTGAGCAAACATCACAAGATTGTACAAAATCTTTTACTACTTTCTACATTTGTGGCCACCAAAAGTCCTTGGATATTAGTTCAAAAGTTTTATTATACCTAAAATGTATTGCTACTGAAAAGTCATGATGAGCTTAAAGAACACGTAATTGCGCTTTACTTTCTGGAATATATAAGTGTTCTTCGAAATATAATAGATTGTTCTTGAATTCAAACTTAAAAGTATCATGAGACTTTGAAGGATTTTCCTTAATATCATGAATAGAAGGATCAGAAGACATACTTAATTGAACTTGCTTAATGAAAGTTGAATCAATAGTTAGTGTTGACTTCATTGCTCGAAGATAAAGTTGCTTTGGCTTGAAGAGAATTGTCTGTTGTTGATCAAAAGCAGCATCTGCTTCCTTTGATGCAAAGTAAGATCGTCTAGAGAGTGCATCTGACTAACCGTATTGTTTTCTTGGTCGATAAGTGAACTTGAATTTGAATCTTGACTAAAACATACTCTAAT